AAAACCCTGGTGACTGCTGATGTTGATTCTTCAATGAACACTATTGGTCCCCAGTGAACCCTGGCTCTTGGTGACTGCTGACTCCTGTCACCAACCACCAATCACAATTGACCCCAGTCGCTAATGCTTCTGAACTCAGTAATTCCTGCCACAAAGAACCCAGAGGTCCCAATGTCCTGAGGGCCCACTGCTACTGAATGAATCTTGTCCCTGGCCTCATGACTCCCAAGCTGGTCCTACTAGGCTATTGCAGGGGGCCCAGAGCGATTCCATTGCTGAGATCTGACCCTCCGCTCTTTTCACACTAGCTGATGGCTGGATCCACAAGGCTGTGGTCCTGGGCTCTGGGATGCACATTATCGAAGAGACACAAGTGTTCAGGGAGCCCCAGTCTGTGGAGAACCTGGTCATCTCTCCGATGCAGGTAACGCCTGAGTCGTGACCCTCCATATGGCCTTGCCAGAAAGGGGAAAGGGGTTGGGGAGGTCGGGTGTGGACTGTGCACGTGTCTGTACGGGGGAGTTGCTGACCAGCTGCCCCTTCCGGCTCCCAGCATAGCCTCTACGTGGGCGCCTCCAGTGGAGTCATCCAGTTACCGCTGTCCAGCTGCTCTCGCTACCGCTCCTGCTATGACTGCATCCTGGCCAGGGACCCTTACTGCGGCTGGGACCCCAGCACCCATGCCTGCCTGGAGGCCACCACTGCAGTGAACAGGTCCCAGGGTCGCAGGTGGGAAGTGGTGGTGGGGTGTGAGTCCCACGTGCCCAAGGACTCAGAGCCTGAGGGGAGGAGGAAGGCCTGCCAGCTGAAGGGGGAGTGGGAGTCAGTTGTTGGTAACAGCCCTGCTGACCCTTCCACTGGGGAAACAGAAGCCCAGTCGCCCTTGCTCATGAGTCCCGGTCTTCTGTCTCCAGGACAGCACTGATACAGGACATAGAGAGAGGAAACCGAGGCTGTGAGAACAACAGGGACACAGGTAAGCGCCCTTCGTGGCTGTGAGCAGGCCTGGCTGTATAGCCCATCCTCCTCACCTTTTACTGTCCTTTGGATCCACGTGTGTGTATCCGAATGGCTGTCTGTGCTTCCAGAGCACACGAAGTGAGTGCTCGACAAATATTTGTTGCCCAAAAGAATTATGAATGTGGAAACATGCTCACTTCCGGAGCTTACAGCCAAGTGGTAGGAGGGAGGTTGGCAATGACATGATCACACAATTAATTATAATTCTTTCCATTGGGTTTTGTTACAAAAGAAATAATTACAACAATGACAAGGGTTTGAAGGATAATAGGTACTTCCTCAAGGAAGACCAGGGGACCGCACTAATATCTAGAGCAAAAGTTAATAATCATAGCTAATATGTACTGAGTGCTTACTGTGTGCCAGGCACTGATCAAACACAGCATTCCTATGACAGAGATGCCATTATCGTCATCCCCATGACAGATAGCCTCTCTGAGGCACAGGGAGAATAAGTGAACTGCCCAAAGTTAATCAGCTATTAAGTGGGAGGGTCAGAATTCGAACCTGCCCCCAGCAGTCAGACTGGAGTTCATGCTGTTGATCACTGCTCTGCTTTCTCCCCACAAGTTACCCAGGTGAGGGCCACGGGGAGGGAGATGACACCCAAACAGAGGGAGCAGCAGGCAGAGCAAGCTTGGTGTGCTTGAGCAACAAGAGAAGAGGCTGGAGAAGTGGGCGGGGACCATGCTAAGGCAGGGGAGTGGCATGATCAGCTGAGTGTTTTTAAAAAGCACCCACTGCTGCATGGAGAGCGTTAGATGGGGACCAGAGTGGGCCAGCAGTCGGGGCAGGAGAGAAGGGAACAGGTCTGAGACATATTCTGGAAGCAGAATCTTGGTGAGGGTTTCATGCAAAGGTGAGGGGGAGTGAGAGGCAAGGAAGACTCCCAGCTTTCTGACTTAAGCACCTGGCAGTTGTAGGAAAAGGCCTGTTGTGGGAGGGAGGCTCTGGCCTTAGTTCCCGTGTCTAAGAGACCTCATGTTTGATGCCCAGAATGTGGAAGATATTCAAGTCTGACGCCCAGGAGAGCAGTCCGTGCTGGAGGTAGAGATCAGGCACCAATGGCAGATGGCAGGAACTGAAACCACAGGCAAGGGCCAATGTGAACCTTCTGTGGGAGCATAAGCACAGAGAGTTGGCCAGTTGTCACCGTGATTCCAGATTCTGTGCTTGGTGCTGGGGACACAGCAGTGAGCCATCTGGCTTACCATCTCCAAAGCCTTCCCTGGGATTGGCAGACATTGACTGCTCTTCCTGTCCCCCACTTCCTCCAGGGCCACCACCACCAATGAAGACCCGCTCTGTGCTCCGGGGTGACGATGTCCTCCTGCCCTGTGACCAGCCATCCAACCTGGCCCGGGCCTTGTGGCTTTTCAATGGGAGCATGGGCCTGAGCGATGGGCAGGGCGGCTACCGTGTAGGTGTGGATGGGCTGCTGGTGACAGACACACAGCCTGAGCACAGTGGCCACTATGGCTGCTACGCTGAGGAGAACGGCCTTCGAACCCTGCTGACCTCCTACAGCCTCACAGTGCGGCCGGCCACTCCTGCCCCGGCTCCACAAGCCCCTGCCATGCCTGGGGCACAACTGGCACCTGATGTGAGGCTGCTCTATGTGCTAGCCATTGCTGCACTCGGTGGCCTCTGCCTCATCCTGGCTTCCTCCCTCCTCTATGTGGCCTGTCTTCAGGGAGGCAGACGAGGGCACAGACGGAAATACTCGCTGGGTCGGGCTGGCAGGGCAGGGGGCTCTGCCGTGCAGCTGCAGACAGTCTCGGGCCAGTGTCCTGGAGAGGAAGATGAGGGTGACGATGGGGAGGGGGCTGGGGGCCTGGAGGGCAGCTGTCTCCAGATCATCCCTGGGGAAGGAGCCCCAGCCCCGCCTCCTCCACCCCCCCCACCGCCACCCGCTGAGCTGACCAACGGGCTGGTGGCACTGCCCAGCCGGCTGCGCAGGATGAATGGCAACAGCTACGTGCTCCTGAGGCAGAGCAACAATGGAGTGCCCACAGGGCCCTGCTCCTTCGCTGAGGAGCTCAGCCGCATTCTGGAGAAGAGGAAGCACACGCAGCTCGTAGAGCACCTGGATGAGAGCTCTGTCTGAGCCCAGCCTCCCAGGACAAAGGCTCTTCCAAGCCAGCCTGTCTGCCCCAGGCTGGGCTGTCCCCTCCCCACCCCAAACTCCAGGCCCTTCCAACTTTAATGTCCCTGTAAGGCTAGCCAGAGTCAGGCCCAGCCAAGGTCCCCTCTCTAACCTCCACAGACCCATCTGTGAGCAGCCCAGGCCAACTGGTTCTCCTCAGAGGTAGGTGCTCCCTCAGGTTCTTCAGCCCAAGCCCCTATTCCCTTAACCTAATCACTCGGGAGAGGACCCTGTCCTCCTGCCCCATTCATCTGCTTAAAGCCTTCCTCTTTCTCCCAGGCAGGGCTTGCAGGTCTGGATGGCCTCAATGTCACCATCCTCTGCATGGCCCTCTGTGCTGGATGGTCCTGACACCAGACAAGACCTCTGTCAGCAAAAGAGCCACCTGAGCCCTGCGTACATTCACATGCCCACAAGGAAGAATGTCCATCAGCTGGGCTGCAGGCCCCTCACCCCCGCCCCCCCTTCTGCTGCATTCTTGTTACATCCCTTCTGGACTTTGGGTACACTCCCAAATGCCATATCCCATCCTATATATTTAGCCCTCTCCCCTAGTCCCAGCCCCCTGAGGTGACCTCTTTGTCAAGAACTTGGGAACAGGCCAGCGTGGGGAGGTAAGACTGCATCATTCCCCTTTTTTCCCTTAATGTGCAGCCCTTGAGTCAGCACCCCCATCCCCTTGGTCACTCTCAAGAGTGACAGAGTTCTAGGCATGTCCTTCACATACACATGCTCACATTTCCACTTACATGCACCTTATGAGCCTCCTCTTGCTGCCTTGGACCTATCAGGTTTGGTCCACGGACATTTCAGAGAGCCCTCTCCGGTTTAGCTGTCCTTACAGACACTTCCCTAGGATGGGTGACCCACACTGCACTCAATGAGCCAGCCTCCCTTTCGGGGACCAAGCATTTGCTACCCCTAGACCAGAGCACGAGGAGGAAAGATCTGCTCTCTCACCTGGCACATGGAGCCCGTTCTTGGAACTATGCAAAGGGCAGAGGCTGGGAGTTTGGATGCTTGGCTCCCACCCCTGTCCTACCTCACCGGGGCACTTTCAGGGTCCAGGGGCCTCTGAAGTCTCCAGGCCCATATGGGACAATCAAATCCTGACTGAGCTCCCTCATTCCCTTGGGTGAGGATGACTGTTATTTTTGTAGCTGAGAACGTGGAATCCCACGGATTTTTACTGCCCTTCACCTATCCTCTCCCACCTCTTCCCTACAACGAATGTATTTATTGTGAGATGGCTACTCTACTTTAGGAATGCCCCCACTCACCACCCAGGTGGGCGGAATGGACATGTGATGGCGGGGAGCCTGGGCTCAGCTCCTCCACCCTGTTGGTTAATAAATACCCTCTTTTCCCCACGGCTGTGCTGCTTGGTCTCAACTGGACCCTCCTGATCGCCAAGGGATAGGCTTCTGAACCTATGGAAAAGGTGCTGCAGGGTTGGCTCTGATCCCTATAAAACCATTTCAGAGAAAACTTCCATCTTGGCTGCCCTGAACAGGTACACAACAAGCCTTTGTTAAGGTTTCACTACTCAGTGATTATGGCGAAAGCACGACAAAAGTACAATGGCTCAAGGATTCCTACAAAGGTTTCTAGGTTTTAACCTCCTGGCTCTTCCTCACCATCCCCCACCACCACTTTTTCAGCCAAGCCTCTACAAAATGCTGCCCATTATCAGCTGGCCTGAGAATCATTTTCTCCAAGGGTCAGGCCTGAATTAATTACACAGCCTTCGATGTTAGGCATCCTAAAGGGTCATTATATGCCCTGCTCTGGTTTTATGATAATGAAAAATGGGGTTATATGTAAAATATGAACATATTTTGAAGTAACAAGTTTATTAACCTCAGTTTTCTGATTTGTACACTAACATTCACACAGCTTAGCCCAAAGCCAGGTTCACGGCACAGCAGGTGGTGCTAGCTCCCTAGCTCAATGACTGCAGAAAGAGGACATCAGGGACTCTTCAGAAGCCAGCCTTGAAATTCCTCACTGCGACGTGAGTGTATTACTACTGATTTTGATTTCAGAAATGAGAATTCAGTTAACATCCTTGAAGACTCCTGTTTCAGTAGTGTCAACTGGACAAGAATTAAAGAGACTCAAAGCCACTGCCCATCACAGTGGGCACCAGATAGAAAGAGGCAGGCAGCTCTTCTTCATCCCAAGCAAAAGGTCTGGTACCAACGTTCCCTTTCGTGGGCTCCATCTGTCTTCCTAGGCTTGGAATCCCCAGAACCCAAGGTGGAAGAACCACCGTCAGGGGGAATGGAGTCTAAGTAACTCTTCACTGCGCGGGCACCTGTGCTGCCGCAGATTCCTGGACCTCTCGCGGGCGCAGCCCACCGCACACTGTCGCTTTGTTGGTGAAGGGGTGCCACTGGCCCTGTATGCTAGGGCTGTCCGTGTGGAAGGGCTTGCGGATGCGGATCACGTCCAAGCCGGACTGATTCGCCAGCTTCTGCACCAGCCTCGTGATCTCCTCGACCGACTTGCAGTGGATGCTCTCCTCGCGCACAGCTCCGTTAACTGGCAGAAGGGAGGTGGAGGGTAATAGGAAGCGGACCGGTCAGGCGTCAGTAGAGGCGGGCCGAGCGCCCCCTCACGCCGCCCTCCGGCCACCGCCCGGATCCACTCACGGTATTCGGCCACGACTCTGGGCACATAGCACGGCCGCGGGTTCACGTATATTACGACCCCCGGGTTCCGTCGGGCGAAGTTGGCCACCTCCTGTTCCACGAACTCCCTGAGGAACCCGAGAAGGGTGAGCACCGTGACCCATGACCCCGGCAACCTCTGCCCGGAGTCGCACCCCCCCGCCCGCTCACCTGGCGCCGCGCGACGAGGGCGCGTCTCGGCTGAGGCTGAAGCTAAGACGCTGCAGCTGCTGCACGTAGCGACCCAGCCCATTGTGGAGCACGCTGGTCAGAAAGCGACTCGGGGTCCCACGCGCAGTCATAGCTCCAGCTCCCCAGTAACCGAGCCTGGCTAGGAAGCGATGGGGCGGGACTAACACCCAGGCTTCCGGTTCCGGGGACATCGGGTCCCGGGGAGTTTTAATTCCGAGGTCTGTTGAGTGGCGCGTTCGAAAAACCCACGCTGCGAACGAAAGGAGTGAGACGAGAGTGGTGGCACGGGGCCGGGATTAGAGCGGCAGAGATCCCGCGGGTGGAGCGGAGGGAAGCCGCGCGGGCTGTAGAGAGGAGGCACCGAGAGGGGCGGGAGCCGCATAGTGGCGCCCTAGTCGTGTCTGGACCCCTTTGAGGGGAGGAGGAGCGAAGAGGACAACTAGTGGGGATCTAGAGCGGAGGCTACAGTAAGGATGCCGACGGCTGTGGAGATGAGGACGATGAGCAGACTCCGTGGAGGGCAGTAGTGTAGGCGAGATGATCTGGAGCGACCATAATCAGTGAGGGACTGCCATGGGAGAATCTGTAAAAGAGCAGAGATCTGTAAGGGGAGCCAGATAGGACAGAGGCGTGAAAGGGTCGTGGAGATGGGCTTGGATGGAGGTAGTAATGAGTAATGTAGAAGGGCCCAAGAAGATTCCGAAAGATGTTTATGAGGGAGAAGTTTGAAAAAAGAAGCCACCTAGAGTGAGCTCTTAAGAGTGCGGTGGGGAGGATAGCTAGGGTCTGGCCTATTGAAGGCACCTGAACCAGGGCACCTAAGGCATTACAAGTAGGGACTTCCTCCATTTGACTAGGGATGTGGGTCCTTCTCCGAAGTGGGCACCCCCTTCGTGTCCTGTTGTCCCTGCGTGGGGAGTGGGTGGGTCGGAGGGGCCTGCCTAGAAGCTTGGCCCCAGGCCCCCCTCGCAGACGGTACAGGAAGGAGGCTCTCCCTGCCACGGAGGTACCAGTGCTGCCTGTGACTGCAACTGAGATCCGCCAATATTTGCGGACACGTGGGATCCCCTTCCAGGACGGCCACAGCTGCCTTCGGGCACCCAGTCCTTTTCTGGGGGCCTCCCAGCTCAAGGACCAGACTGCTAAAACCACTTCCCTCAGCCTCTTCATTGACAAGACCACAGGCCGCTTTCTCTGCATGACCAGTCTAGCAGAGGGGAGCTGGGAAGACTTCCAGGCCAGTGTGGAAGGACGTGGGGATGGAGATAGAGAGGGGATCCTGCTTGGTGAAGCCCCAGAAGCTGAGGACATTGAGGAGATCAGGAGGATCTGGGACCGAGCAGTACCTCTCTGGGAGCTGCCTGATCAGGAGGAGGCCCAGCTGACTCGTGTGATGTTTGGCCTTACCAAAGTGACAGACGATACACTCAGGCGTTTCAGCGTGCGGTATCTGCGGCCTGCTCGAAGCCTCGTCTTCCCTTGGTTCTCCCCAGGAAGTTCAGGATTACGAGGCCTGAAGCTCCTGCAGGCTGAAAGCCAGGGGGATAGAGTGCACTATGTGGAGACCACCATACCCCGGCCTGGTGCCTACCACAATCTGTTTGGATTGTCACTGATAAGTCGTCGAGATACTGAGGTGGTACTGACAGGTAGTGAGCTGGACAGCCTGGCCTTAAACCAATCCACAGGGCTGCCCACTCTTGCCCTTCCCCGAGGAACGTCTTGCTTACCACCTGCCTTGCTCCCTTACCTCGAACAGTTCCGACGTATTGTGCTCTGGCTGGGGGATGACCTTCGATCCTGGGAAGCTGCCAAGTTGTTTGCCCGAAAACTGAATCCCAAGCGATGCTCCTTGGTGCGGCCTGGGGACCAGCATCCCCGTCCCCTGGAGGCCCTGAACCAAGGCTTAAATCTCTCTCGAATTCTACGTTCTACCCTGCCTGCTTGGCACAAGTCCATTGTGTCTTTCCGGCAGCTTCGGGAGGAGGTGCTAGGAGAGTTGTCAAATGTGGAACAGGTAGCAGGCGTGCGCTGGAGCCGCTTCCCAGATCTCAATCGTTTCTTGAAGGGACATCGGAAGGGCGAGCTGACAGTTTTTACAGGTGACCCTTTGGGAAATCACTACTTGGAATGGTGGGAGAGGATCAGGTGACAAAAGCATGTGGGTTTGGGCCACTATAAATGTTAACAAGGAGGCTGTCCCTTCTAACTTCAAGGCCCTGCTCCAGGTCTTGGTTTCAAGGGTAGGACTTTCCTCCCTTACCTGGATCTGTGTTCAACTCCCCTGCAGGGCCGACAGGCAGTGGAAAGACGACATTCATCAGTGAGTATGCCCTGGATTTATGTACACAGGGGGTGAACACGCTCTGGGGCAGCTTTGAGATCAGCAACGTGAGACTAGCTCGGATCATGCTAACACAGTTCGCCGTGGGGCGGCTGGAAGACCAACTGGAAAGATATGATGAGTGGGCTGATCGGTTTGAGGACCTGCCCCTCTACTTTATGACTTTCCATGGGCAACAGAGCATCAGGTGAGATTTTCAGGCTTAGGGTTTTCAAAGAATATGAGGGCAGGAGAACAGACCCCCTAATGAGAGTTTTTAGGGATGCTGGCTTTCTGCCTGGGATGGGCTGGAGACTACTTGTAATTGACTCCTGAATTCATTGCTTCTTCCTCTTCCCAGGACTGTAATAGACACAATGCAGCATGCAGTCTACGTCTATGACATTTGCCACGTTGTCATCGATAATCTGCAATTCATGATGGGTCACGAGCAGCTGTCCACAGACAGGTGACATCCTCTTGTCTAGCTGTAATCCACTTGAACACAGATGTCTTCTTGGGCAGCTGGCCCTAGGCACACACACTGCACTCTTGTTTTCTGACATATGTGCAGACATACCCCACCCCCTGTATATTTCTGTCTATAGAGGTGTGGTGTGTGGCAGCAGGAAGTGTGGACAGGGACCTAAGTGTGAGTTCTTGAGTAAAGGGAAGTAGAGTGAGGTTGTGGTGCTTGGTAGAGACGCAAATGAATCAAGAGTATATTGTCCTTTTGACTGAGTCTGATAACCTCTTGTTTTGTTGGGGTGGGGATAGGATTGCAGCCCAAGACTACATCGTTGGGGCCTTTCGGAAGTTTGCGACAGAGAGTAGCTGCCATGTGACACTGGTCATTCATCCCCGGAAGGAGGATGATGATAAGGAACTGCAAACAGCATCCATTTTTGGCTCAGCCAAAGTAAGTGACCTTTGGCAGGGTCCAAGCTTTGGAAAGTAGAGGGGGGAGGCATCACCCGGGGCAGCCCTCAGTCAGCCTTAAATCATCTGGACTCTGTCTAGAAGAGGCAGTTGGGGCCATTGGCATGAGGAATACAAAGGCTGATAAGTTTTGGTCCTTTGCCCTCCTTGCCCTCCAAGAGCGCACATTCTTTAGCCTGGAAAACAATGAGACAATGATTACAGCTCTTGTGACAAAGCTGTGATAGGCAGCTCAGGTATTTGGGGAGCAAAGAGAAGACATCCAAGTCAGCCTGGGGCATCTGGAGAGATTTCCTAGAGGAGGTGTCAGCAACCTTTGGGTTGAGTTTTTGTCTTTGGGCTAAAAGTAGGTATTTAGTAACTAAATGGGAGGGCCAGGACCAGCCTGATCCTGGAGCTCCCAGTGGTACACTGAATGCCTGTTATATCCCAGGCCTGGGCTGGGCACAGACTGTGTGCCACAGCGAAACAGGCATGGAGCTGGGGAAGAGACTAACACAGAAGGAAAGATGGTGCCTTCTGTATTTACAGGGGTCAAGTATGGTCTCTGATAAAGTGTGAGATTTAGACCGAGACCTCAGTGATAAGAAGCTGGGGTTGAGTGGGGTGGTCAGCTGTGCAGGAGGAATGTTCTAACCAGTGAGAACAGCAGGTACAGAATCTGGGGGTGACAGCAGGGTTGCTAAGGGACTGAAAAATGCAGGTGACCCCAGCATCATGGTGAGTAGTTCAGTGAGCTTTGATAAACAGGGGAAGTACTTCCGTTCCCCATTCTTACCACTTCTCCCTGCACCCTCAACCTTCCTTTCTGCTTCTCTCATGTGTCTTTTCATTGCTCCGTCATCCTTTGCCCTGTCCTTCAGGCAAGCCAGGAAGCGGACAATGTTCTGATCCTGCAGGACAGGAAGCTGGTAACTGGGCCAGGGAAACGCTATCTGCAGGTGTCCAAGAACCGTTTTGATGGAGACGTAGGTGTCTTCCCACTCGAGTTCAACAAGAGCTCCCTCACCTTCTCCATACCACCAAAGAGCAAGGCCCGGCTCAAGAAGATCAAGGATGACAATGGGCTTGTGGCCAAAAAGCCCTCTTCTGGCAAAAAGGGGGCGGCCGTCCCCAAGAACTCTGAGACTTGCTCGAATGAGACCCCCAACCCTTACCAGCCAGACCCCTCCAAGCTTTCAAGGTGAAGGAGGTACAGATCATAGAACGAATCTGACAGAATAGGCTGGGGCATAGACTCTTCCTTGGCCCTCTGCTAGGACTGCCTCTGATCTGTGGTCCTCAGCTACAGGCCCCTTCTTAGTCCCAGGGGCCTGGCCTAGGGCAGGGTCCCATAGTGAGAAAATTCAGTTTAGCAGATAGTGGAGAACCTACTTTGTGCCAGGCTTTGTTCTAGGTCCTGGGAGTGTAGCACAGATGAGACAGACGAGTTTCCTGCCTCCGTAGAAAATACATTTGGGTGGGGGGACAGGGTAACCTAATGGACAAACACAAAACAATTTCAGATAGTGAAAAGTGCTATTTGAAAAATAAAATGATGCCATAGTGCTTCCAGGCTAGTTTAGATGAAGGTCTGAAAAGGTGTTCTGAGCAGAGGACGTTTGAGCTGGGACCTAAAGAACTAATACCTGTGGGAACACCTGGAGGAAGGGGAACGCAGGCAGAAGGAAGGTAGAGACAGAGGCCCTGAGGCAGGAATGAGCAAGCTGAGTCCAAAGCAGTGGGGTCGGGTCCCCTCAATCTGGAGAATAGGGGCTTTCTTGCCAAAATCCCAGCCCGGGCTTTCGGGGCTAAAGGGTGACGGGACTAGACTAAAGGGTGACGTGGCAGATACCAAGCTCCCCTGTTCCCCACTCCGGAGCCTGCTGTGTGGTGCCACTCAACATGAGTAGGTCCTAG